TTTGCTCATCTTCACTGTGTTGCTTTGTGAGCTTATCAGATCATATTGCTCATATTCATGCAGTGTCCATGGGATGGGAGGCCTGAAATACACAGAACTGTATTTGAGCCAAAATGCACCTTGGCACGGCAATGAAATCTCTCCCCGCCCGTGAGAATATGCCCTTGAATATCTGAAATAACTATGAATATGGCTGCCTTTGAGAATGTTGTTGACTCAGTGGTGAAAGAAATGCTCTGTGCACCATCAGTAACATCATATTAGGAACTAGGGGATTTCTGAGTTAGAGGATAGAAGAAGAGAGACCCTGAGGACTCATGGAGGGGTGGTTATTCCATCCTTCCCCTCCCTGGTTGGTAGTTCAGCAGTTCGAGACCCAAGTGTCGCATGACGGAGTGAGCTCCCGTCTCTGGTCCCAGCTCCTGCCAACCTAGCAGTTCAAAAGCAAGAAACTGCAAGTAGATAAATAGGTACCGCTTCGGTGGAAGGTAACAGTGTTCCGTGTGCCTTGGCGTCTAGTCATGCTGGCCACCTGACCATGGAAACGTCTTTGGACAGCTCTGGCTCTTCGGCTTGGAAATGGAGATGAGCACCGCACCCCTGGAGTCGGATTCGACTGGCTTTCGAGCAAGGGAAACCTTTACCTTTATGCCACCAGGGGATAAGGGATCTGCACTTCTAGCAGAAAGCCCAATCCCCTCCTCAGTCACCTGACTGGTGGGGGGGAGGGGCTTTCAGTAGAAAATGCATAGGAACATCTTTTCTCCTTCAAGCCTCTCTCCCCTCCCCATTATCAGCTTGCTCTGGTCAAGTCGCTGTTGAGGTTTCACAAGATCTTGTTGGCCATTTTGGTTTAGTTCTGATGGGTATACTTCCATGGACATTGGTCTGTATCTTGCCACTCCTTTCAGCAAAATATGAAGCCTCTCTCCAGGCCTTAAGAGGAAGAGCCACTCAAGTTGAGAGGCTCTTTAGGATTGAGGGAGACTTCAAATATTGCTGAGTGGTAGGATACATGCCAACGTTTCTCCTTTTTGGAGGGTTTAAAATTGGAGTGTCTGCAGATCTGAGTGTCCCCCCAGGTTTGTAGAAAAATCACCCCCGCAATCTGTACATGCCCCCACAATGTGGATTTTTGATCTATACCTTAAAGCATTAGATATAGATGTTTTTTTTAGCCTGACCTAAGCACCTGCTCAAGTGGCTAAGACGCTGAACTGCAGGCTGTGGAAGGTCGGTAGTTCAGCAGTTCGAGACCCGAGTGCACGGTATGACGGAGTGAGCTCCTGTCTCTAGTTCCAGCTCCTGCCAACCAATCAGTTCGAAAGCAAGAAATTGCAAGTAGATAAATAGGGACCACTTCGGTGGGAAGGGAACAGCATTCTGTGCACCTTGGTGTTTAGTCACGCAGGCCACATGACCACGGAAATGTCTTCGGACAGCGCTGGCTCTTCGGCTTGGAAACAGAGATGAGCACCGCATCCCTAGAGTCAGATTCGACTGGCTTTCGAGCAAGGGAAACCTTTACCTTTAAGCACCTGCACCAGTTTCTTTGGGAATAAATGAAAGTGTCTCTTTCATTGTACGAAGTATTTGGTTAAAAATGTCACTTTTTAAAAAAATGTCACCTGTCAAACTTTACATCAGCTCAGACCTTACATGTTTCAGGGACCAACTTCATACTTTCTGTTCTTACATTCTTTCACTTTCCAAATGAGCCTCATTAAGATTTAGAGGCCCCACTCCTCTGTTTATGAGGTGTGATCACTGGAGGAAAGAAACACAGCTTGTTAGGTGGGCTTCCCTTGATTGTTCAGAACCAGATGCCTTCGCTCTGCAACTCTTTAGAAATCAATGTAAGATCTATCCGTTTAAATAGGCTTTCAGATCTCTGTGTGGAATATTTATTTATTTATATTTGGCTTGATTTTTATCTCGCCCTCCCTGCAAGCCGTCTCAGGGTGGGTCACAGTCGCAAAGGAGTCAACTATGACAATATACAAATTAAGCTGTTAAAACAATATCCTTATCAATTCAAAACAACAAGAAAACAATAGAGTAGGAACACTTCAATAAAGATACTCAGTTTGGGCTACTAATGAGCCCGCATGGTCAGCAGGGGAGGCCAGGACAGAGTTGGATGTCCGTCGCCTCATCTGAAAGCCCGTCGGAACAGCTCCGTTTTACAGGCCCCGTGGAATTGTAACAGATCCCGCAGGGCCCTGGTCTCAAGTGGGAGCCCGTTCCACCAGGCTGGGGCCAGGGCAGAAAAGGCCCTGACCCTAGTCGAGGCTAACCAGACATCCTTGGGGCTGGGAACAACCAGGAGGTGTTGGTCACTTGAGCACAACGCTTTGCGAGGCACACATGGGGAGAGACGGTCCCGAAGATATTCAGTGGGTTAAAATATTATTTAGCGTTTAGTGGGGTTTCTAACCATCTCTGAGGTACCTGGATATGCAGGATAAAGGTTTTTAATCTAGAAACAAAGATCACCTTTTATCACAGTCTCTAAACTTCTTTCTAGAGCCCTTCATACAACTAATAAGTGCAGCAGTCATCTGAAGTGTTTGTTCCCTGTTGGGTGTGCTTCGGCCGTCTGAACTGTGGCAGGTAGCATTTATTTAAGACTAGAACCTTCCGGACTGTGGCTGCCAGTTAGTGGCGTGTCCAAAGAATCACACCAGGAGGCTTGAGCTTCACCTCCAGGAGAAAAACGAAGACTGCTCTTATGCCCTTTTGGAATAGCTGCTGAACAAATTGATTCGGGGCTTGTGTTGTGCTTTGGAAATGGTCCTGTGGCTTTTTGCTGTGGGTAGTTCATCTTCTGTGCAGTCCCACCTTGGGGACTGTGCACGGACAGGCCTACCACGAGAAGATCTCTTTTTGCCACAGCTGGCCTGCACGTGCACAGGGACTGCACAGAAGACCTCGATAAACATCAGTTGCAGGTAAGTGTAACCCTGGGTTTGTTTGTTTTTTGTTTTATTGATTACCATTTTCATTTCTGTGTTGTTAATGTATTATCCACCGGTGGGGAAGTGAGGTTGAAACCTAACCTGCACAAAATCAATCATTCTGGTGGCGGTTCACGGCTGATTATTAGACCACCAGCTGTGAATCATATAATTAAATGGGTGGAAGGTGCTCATGCCGGGAGTTCAGACACCCATGCTTCTAGAGCGGTAGCAAGTTCTGCTGGTTAACAGTGGGCCGGAACCTCAGGTCTCGGGGTCTAATTGCTTCCCTGAAGCAGCAACTGTGTACAGCTTGAGCTAGATTCCCACCACTGACTCTCTGTGGTGTCTCTCATCCCCCACAGACCTGTGTTCTCTGAACAACGGGGGCTGCAGTCACAACTGCACGGTGGCACCGGGCGAGGGCATCGCGTGTTCTTGTCCTTTGGGCATGGAGCTGGGCGCCGACAACAAGACCTGCCAGATCCAGAGCTACTGCGCCAAGCACCTCAAGTGCAGCCAGAAGTGCGAGCAGGACAAGTACAACGTGAAGTGCTCCTGCTACGAGGGGTGGATGCTGGAGCCTGACGGCGAGAGCTGCCGCAGCATGGGTGAGTATGGGAGGAGGCTGGCACATAAGAGAGCCAGAAAAAGAGCAGCTTCTGTCAAGAGCTCCCTCAGGCCCACCCAGGGCTCTTTTTGTAGAAAAAGCCCAGCAGGAACTCATTAGCATAATAGGCCACACCCAAGAGCAGGAACTCATTAGCCTATTGGGCCACACCCCTGACAGCACAGCTCATTACACATTAGGCCGCACCCCCCATGTTACCAGAAGTGTGGTCATCCAGCCACACCCACCTTTTGCTTCTTATTCTGTTTACCTTGTTTGTTGTCAAAACCCAGGGCCTTTTTTTGTAGCAGGAACTCCTTTGCATGTTAGGCCACACACCCCTAATGTAGCCAATCCTAATGAGTTTCTGCTGTTGGGTGTGGCCTATTATGCTAATGGGGTTCCTGCTGGGCGTGGCCAACTTGGGAGCCAGCCAGAACTCCGTTCCTGTGCGTTCCTGCCCAAAAATAGCCCTGGGCCCACCTACCTCACAGGGTGTCTATTGTGGGGAGGGGAAGGGAAAAAGGAGTTTGTGAGCCACTCTGAGACTCCCTTGGGTAGTGAAGGGCGGGGTATAAATCCAATCTCTTCTCTCTTCTTCTTCTCTTTGAATGGATTGGAGTCTTGAAATCAAGTCCAGGAACAATCGGCACCAGACCCTCAAGTCTAATAACTCTGTGGCAATTGTCTTCATCCCATGGGTCAGGACCCCCAGTTGGGTTATAGAGCCCCTCTTCCTGTGCTGCAAGACCCCAGATAACTGCCTTTTTATTTTTTGGATTTCTTTTTGGGAGGGCCTGCTGCATGGAGGGTGAGGGCTCTGTGTTTCCTGCCTCTGTTTGCATGCCTCTTGAAATATGACAGTACGTTGAGATTGCTCAGTAGTACAAAGGATTCCTCCGCAGCTCTCACCCTCATCTTCGCTCCAGTACATCTCCTCGTGCTTGGATAGTCTTCCAGGTCCCATTTGGAGTGCTGCCCATAATCCTCTTGACACTGGCAAAGTCTAAACTCCCCCTCTTTCTGTTACATAACCCATGACTTCCGGTCATGCTTCAGCTGAGTGGGTCCCGTGCTTTGAGAATTTAAGATCACCACTCTGTGGATCAAGTGTGTTTTAGTAAGTATGGGTGAATTCTGAGCCATTTCATGCACTGCACGAGAATAAACCCAGGTGTTCTCTGATCAGCAGAGGGCAGTTCATCCTGGCTCTCTGGCTAGTGTAGCCGGATGATGAATACCTGTTTGTTGCGTTCACGCTCTGTTGTTCTGTTTTGAAAAAAACTACGAAAGATATGCCATTATTTTTTTGTGGGTGCAGAGTGAATCCCTTGTAAAATAGAGCTCCTTTCCCCCAAATATATGCTAGGCAAAACTTCCTGGCAAGTCAATGCTCCCTCTAAGCCGTGGAGTCTTGTGAGCAAAAATCTTACTTTGTGAGCTTCTGGCATTAACGTTGTGAGTGAGCAGTTTGGCTACTGCATAAATTAGTTTGCTCTGGAGCCATCCTCCCTGAGCTAAGACAAAAATCTGTGAACCGGAGGCTAAAATACTGTGAGCTGCCTCACACTAACTCAGCTTAGAGGGAACACTGCCTGGCATGCGCCTAGGCTGGAAGTTCCTCCAGCCTAAAGAGTCCTCTCCCACCTTAAGTGGCTGTTTCAGGAGCAGGGAGGGTAGAAGACCACAGTATGATGCTCACCACCATTTAGCGTTGCTCTCTCGGCCACTTTTCTGCTTTTGTCCCTGTCCTGCCCATGTGGCAGACCCGGCCTGGCCCTTTGCAGCAGTATTCACCTCAAGCATATTATCTGCCTCATCAGGCTTCCGTGAACAAAAAAAGGACTGTCGGATCGGGGTGGATGGAGTGTGGCTAGGGTTGCCAGCTCCAGGTTGGGAAACTCCTGGAGATCTGTGGGTGGAGCCTGGGGAGGACGGGGAGTTCAGTGGGGTGCAATGCCACAGAGGCCGCCCTCCAAAGCATCCATTTTCTCCAGGGGAACTGATCCTCTGTACTATGAAAATGAGCTGCAATTCCAGGGGATCCCCCCAGGTTCCACCTGGAGACTGGCATCCCTAGGTGTGGCCTAGGAGGAGCATCGTTTAGAGGAAATGGAATTTATTTTTCTGAAATCCTCCTTAAAATAAAAAAAAAGACATAGACACGGATTCCTCTGACTCTCTTTTTCTTTCCAAAGATGAATTACTCTTTCGTTCCCCTTGTATTTCTCTGTTGTAGTTTTCTGTCACACCTCTTTGCACCCCTTTGTAACTTCAGTCCTCAGAGGGATATTTGTTTGTTGATGTTGCACACTGCAGGGGTGGTGCTCTAGCAGGAGGAGAGGAAAGCTTGGGAAGACATTGCCCGCCTTTGTGCATCTGCAGAGTGAAATTTTTGCAGAGCCTCCCCTCCTGCCCCCTCTCCTCTTTGGACTTCTCTTGGAGCAAAACAGAATTGATTCAGAACAGACTCCAGGTTCCTAAAAAGAGGAAAAGAAACAGACGGTTGGTGTCAGGGAGACACTGGGTAAAAAGGAATTAAGAGAATTCCTCTTAACAATGCTGCTTTGGACCTTTCATACCTGCTGTACATGCAAGAAGGCTATCAGATCTAGCCAAGGCTTTTTCCCTCCTCTTTTTGAGGAACTAAATGGAAAACGGAGAATAAAAAGTGATGGGGAGAGACACAGCGAAGTTAGCGCTTCCCAGCAACCAAGAAATACAGCCGTGTTCCTGTCCTTTAGGGACTTGCCCTCATTCCACAGGGCTGCAGTTGGCAGGCACCAGAAAGCCTGCTCTGTTCCCAGTGCCCCAGGGAGGACTAGAATTGGGGCAGGGGGCAGATTTTTAAAAGGAGGCGTGCTCGTCATTTGCAGCGAGCCATTTCTTTTTCTCATGCTGGAGAATGAGGCCCACCAAGTTAGGGTTCTGGTCAGTTGACTGTGGGAAGCAACATTCATACAAGACCAGGAATGTGAACTGGGGAAAGGAAAGCAAGCTCATGGACAATTTCAACATAGCAATTATTAAACTACATAACGGCAACAACAAGTGTGGGGGGGCTTGCGATGAAGAAGGGGGCGTCAGTAGTTTGGAAATTTTGCTTCCCCGCCTAACCCTCCAGAGTTCTATAAGCTATCGGATTTGACTAAGCTAATGTCACCATCTCCTCCCTTTTTTCTCCTTTAACCAATTCTCCACATTCTTTGCGTTTTGGAATGCTCTCAGTCCTTATTACACCATTGCCCAGGGGAAGGGATGGTCTTCATTTACAACGTCTGTCTGTCTCTCTCTCTCTGCTCATACAGCTATAACCTTGAGCAGAAAATAAAACAATAAAATAAAATAACGCCTTGCTTAATATTCTTCTGCTGCTGTTTAATTATTGTCCCTAAAACTTTTGCCGCAGACAGAGTCACAGAATCATTTGTATCTGATAATAACCCCGTCACCTGTGCCCTCGTACTATCAGGTGCCTCCTCAGACCATTCCATCATTTGGAGTAAAGGAATAATTAAAATTGGCCCTCAACTCATTAAATATAGGACACTCCGTAATCATATGCTCTGTAGTGTCAACTTTATCAGATGAGCATCTACGTGTTCTATTCGTATATGGCACTCTTTTATATCTGCCCTCCAAGACTCCCGACGGAAGAGAATTCTTTCTGGCCAAAGTAAAAGCTCTTCGGAGCTTTGGTATTGTCAGCTAATAAAAGTACTTCAGCAGTCGCATCGGGAGGGCAATACCTAACTTAGACAATGAGCATACCCTGCGGGCGTTTACAAAGTTGTGTCGTTCTACATACCTGAGGAATCCTCTGCTTTGTCTGCATTTGGGCCTGACCGTGCTTCTTTCATGGTCAGCATGGGGGGCCTTGCGCTTTGGTCATATTAAGGTTTGGTGTGTAAGCGGGCTGAGCAGAGCAAGGCAAATCCCACGGCTGGAACGAGAAGCAGGCTATAAGACTGGAAGTAAAAGCCCTTTCTTGTATTACTTTTTTTGAAACGTATAAGATTGCTGTCAGGACACGGCTTTGTGCTCGAAGACCCGTGAAACGGTGGTTGCGGAGGAACAGTAATGCAAACCTCTTTCTTCCTTTCAGACCCCTTTAAGCCTTTCATCATCTTCTCCAACCGCCACGAGATCCGGCGTATCGACCTGCACAAGGGAGATTACAGTGTCTTGGTGCCGGGCTTGCGGAACACCATCGCTTTGGACTTCCATCTCAATCAGAGCTCCCTCTACTGGACCGATGTGGTGGAGGACAAGATATATCGGGGGAAGCTCCACGAGAACGGTGGTGAGCATTCGGGATGGCCACAGTGGTGGGATAAAAAGGAGCCATGCTGAGTTTCTCTGTGCTCTTTGGGGGGGTTTGCTAGCGCCTGAAGAGGGAGTGCTCCTGCTTGGTTCTTCCTTGTTCCCTTGCTGCTATGAGCATCCAAGAAGAGAGACGGCAATTATTCCCCAACGATATCAGTTTCCACTTAAATTCTAAGGGCAAACATTTCAATCAGGATCACATAAGGTAAATTACATGTGACATGTAAATACTTGCAGCCGTACCCCAGGATGGCCCAGACCAGGGGTGGCCAAACTTGCTTAACGTGAGAGCCACGGAGAATAAACATCAGATGTTTGAGAGCCGCAAGACATGAACAAATATTACCCGTTTTTACTGGGAAATATACAGATTTGCTTTCTGTGAACATTAAATGAGACTGCCAAAAATAATAACAAAAGCGGTAAAAGCAGATATTGATAATGATGTTTATTTGTCCAGTGACATTTGTTTGCTAATGATATTTAGCTTCCCCAGCCACCCTGCCGGGAGCCACACAATATGTGTAATAGAGTCGCATGTGGCTCCCGAGCTTCAGTTTGGCCACCCCTAGCCCAGACTAACCTGATTTCATCAGATCTCGGAACCTAAGCAGGGTCGACTCTGGTTAGCACTGGGAGACCACCACGTAAATCCAGGGTCATTCTGCAGCAGAGCCAAAAAAGATGCCTGCAGTTTAGACTCGGCGAAAAGCACTGGCGAATACAAAAGAAGAAGAGATTGGATTTGTACCCTGCCCTTCACTACCCGAAGGAGTCTTAGAGCAGCTTACAAACTCCTTTCCCTTCCCCTCCCCACAACAGACACCCTGCTGTGAGGTAGGTGGGGCTGAGAGAGCTCTTGAGAGAACAGCTCTGAGAGAACTTGTGACTGACCCAAGGTTACACCAGCAGCTGCATGTGGAGGAGTGGGGAATCAAAGACTAGAGTCTGTGCTCCTAACTACCACACCAAACTGAATAAAATGGTCTTGCAGTGCTTTCTGAGGTATTCTAACCACAGCTCTCCCCTAACCTCCTCAGGGAGCCTGTTTTGCAGAGTGGGAGCTATGATGGCAAAGGAATGGGCCAACTTAAGTGGGGGAACAATCAGTAGGTGGCAGCCTGAAGACCATATAGTTGGTGCACGAGGACCTAATAGATAGATGTCAGCAGCATCTGCCTTCCGTGCATCACAGACCTACAACCCAGTGCCCTGAGCGAAAAATAAGAGGTTGTTTGTGCTCCTAAAAGTCTGGCTCGTAAGGGTCAGGGTTTTAAAAAGCAAGAGAAGAGAGAAGACAAAGAGTCCTATCAGCCCCCTGGCGCTAAAAGCCGATTTCGAGGCATGTGGTCTGTCTTACGACAGGCAGGTTCTTGGAGTGCTCTCGAAGTTAAATAAATAAATAGGTAATAGGCTGAGCCCCAGTGGCGAAGAACAAATGCTCTGGGGGGATGATTAGATTAGCATTTCTAATCTGTGCTCAGTAATAGGCAGCCGGTTAACTTGAGGCGCAGCAGGGCTTCCGTTTCAATCCAACTCAATGAGACATTATCGTCAAACAAGGCAGACGAGTGTTACTAAATATATGGTGCAAAGGTAGGGTTATTTCTAACTGGAAACCCTCTCTGAAAGCGACGCCCGATGTCTATATCCTTAAATCCTTCAGAACTGACAGTCAAAAACTACCTGTTTACCCCACCTAAATGGTATCTTGCCCTGACCTGGTTATCCCAGGCCAGCCAGATCTCGGAAGCTAAGCAGAGTCAACCCTGGTCAGTATTTGGAAGGGAGACCGCCAAGCAATACCAGGGTCACAACGTGGAGGCAGGTCATGGCAAACCGCCTCTGAAGGTCTCTTGCCTCGAAAACCCCACTGGGTCACTGTAGATTAGCTGTGATGACGACAAAAAGGGGGGTATCTCAAAGACATGTACAGGAAGTTCCCCCTAAAATGCCACCAGACACAACCTCTTTTGCTATGGAACGTAGACCAGAAAGGGTTGATAAGCTGAGGGTACTGTTCCTGTCCCTTATCCAGCCGTCTTCTTACAACCCCGTTCAGTTCCTTACAATTTCATTACATCTGTTCGCCCCTAAGTATCCAACAGGGGCTGCGGTGGCTCAGAGGTTAAGACGCTGAGCTGCAGACTGGAAGGTCTGTAGTTTGGCAGTTCAAGACCCTAGTGCTGCGTGACAGAGTGAGCTCCCGTCTCCGGCCCCGGCTCCTGCCAACCTAGCAGTTCGAAAGCAAGAAATTACAGGTAGATAAATAGGTACCGCTTTGGTGGGAAGGTAACAGCATTCCATGTGCCTCAGCGTTTAGGCATGCCGGCCACATGACCACGGAGATGTCTTCAGACAGTGCTGTCTCCTCAGCTTGGAAACTGAGATGAGCACTGCCCCCTAGAGTCATATTTGACTGGCTTTTGAGCAAGGGAAACCTTTACCTAAGTATCCAACAGCATCAGACAGAATATGGGCCAGTACCCCATTTGGTGTTCTCTAGACAAGGCCCAGAGGAATCCTAGCCTTCTGAGTGTCTGTCTTCCCTGCTGTCTTCTTGACGTTGGGTGCATTTGAAGTTATCAGGTTCACACAGCCAATGGGAAGTCTTTTGGGAGGGAGGGAGGGAAATGAGGAGGGCCATGGGGGAGAGAAGCTTCTTAGCATCGGCCCACCCCTGACTACCCTCCTCTTCTTGCATCCTAAGCAGCAGCATTCAGTCCCTTTGGTAATGATACCTTCTTTCTTTTAAATGTTGATCATTATGTGGGAGTTAATTAGCGTTCCCGCGGCTTCCCTAATGATAATTACAGCCTGGCAGCTGCCTCGGCAACAATCTGAGCCTAACCCGATTAAGGGCCTCGGAAACATTGGTGATTCCAGATGGGGGGGGGGCACGGGAGGTCTCTGGGTGGCAGCAGGGTGCAGCTAGGAAATGCCCTGGCCACCCTGACCCATTCAATGTAGGTATCAAGGAAGAGATAACTTTGTCGTCAGGATTAGGGCCTGGCTGGTTGAGCCAGATCATGGTCTCCTGCCAAGGTCCTCCTGAGCAAAAGCGAATCTTATCTTTCTTTGGTCCCTTTTTGATCACAGTTCGCTTGTTGAATGTCTCAGGACTTGGGCACACATTACATTTGCTTCCTCTCAGAGAGCCAGTTTGGTGTAGTGGTTAGGAGCGCGGACTCTAATCTGGGACAACTGGGTTTAATTCCCTACTCCTCCACATGCAGCTGCTGGTATGACCTTGGGTCAGTCGTAAGTTCTCTCAGAGCTGTTCTCTCAAGGGCAGTTCTTGAGAGAGCTCTCTCAGCCCCACCTACCTCATGGGGTATCTGTTGTGGGGAGGGGAAGGGGAAGGGATTGTAAGCCGCTCTGGGTATAAATCCAATCTCCTCCTCCTCCTCCTCCTCTGTTATAGTTCTGTTTACATCTGGGCATTTAACACCTACCCCTAAGCAGTGAATCAAGGTACTGGTCTCAGGAGAAGCTAATATTGTGCCCTAGGGGAACAAATGCCCGAAATGAGTGCCTTAGTTGATTCTCCTACACATTTTGTGGAACTGATTCAGCTGCACTGGTTCAAATGTAGCATTAAGCAACTTTGTGCCAAGCTAAGTGCCTGCTTTATGAGCTATTGATCTGAGTGCTGTGGAAAGCTATGGAAGTAGGACATGAAGTTTCACAGCATGCAGTGATGCCAGGAGTGCCCTGCACAATTTAACTGAGTGCTCTAAGGGGATGCTGATTTTGGTGTGATTTGTGTTAGCAAATGCCCTAACCTGGATGACCCATGCTAGTCCAATCTCATCAGATCTTGGGAGCTAAGCAGGGTTGGCCCTGGTGGGAGACCAGCAAGGAAGTCTAGGGTCATGGCAGAGGCAGGCAGTAGCAAACCACCTCTGTTTGTGTCTTGCCTTGAAAACCCTCCAGGGTTAACATAAGTCAGCTGCAACTTGACAGCACGTTCCACTATCATATTAGCAAATACCAGCCACCAAAACAATCATTAGCTATTTGTGGGGAAGGCAAGGGGCTCGGTATAGCAGCATCAAGAGCAGTACAGAAGCGGGTGCAGAGGAGAGTGACGAGGATGATCGGGGCCCATAGGAGACCAGGCCCTACAAGGAAAGGCTGAGGGACTTGGGAATGTTCAGTCTGGAGAAGAAGAAGAAGAAGAAGAAGAGATTGGATTTATACCCCGCCCTTCACTTGGAGACTCAGAGCGGCTTACAAACTCCTTTCCCTTCCACCCTCCCCCACAACAGACACCCTGTGAGGTGGGTGGGGCTGAGAGAACTCTGACACAAACTGCTCTTTTTCAAGGACAGCTGTGCCAGAGCTTGTGACTGACCCAAGGTCAGGTGCAAGTGGAGGAGTGGGGAATCAAACCCGGTTCTCCCAGATTAGAGTCTGCACACTTAACCACTACACCAAACTGGCTCTCCTGGAAGAGGAGGCTGAGGGGGGTGGGACATGGTTGCTCTCTTGAAGTATCTGAAGGGCTGTCACTTAGAGGAGGGCAGGGAGCTGTTTCTGTTGGCAGCAGAGGGTAGGACTCGCAATAATGGGCTTAAATGAAGGGCAGGAAGGTACCAGCTGGATCTCAGGGAAAACTTATTTACAGGAAGAGTTGTGCAGCAGTGGCATCAGCTGCCTAGGGAGGTGGTGAGCTCCCCCTCTCTGGCAGTCTTTAAGGAGCGGCTGGACAAACACCTGTCAGGGAGGCTCTAGGCTGATCCTGCACTGAGCAGGGGGTTGGACTGGATGGCCTGTATGGCCCCTTCCAACTCTGTGATCCTAGGATTCCTTAATAGCCCAGGCTCGCCTGGTTTCATCAGAGCTCAGAAGCCAAGCAGGGTCAGTACTTGGCTGGGAGACCACCAAGGAAAACTGGTGCTGTGATGCAGAGGAAGGCGAAGGCAAATGACCGCTATTCATCTCTTGCCTTGAAAAACCCCACGAGGTGGAATTTCATCAGGTCGCCTTGAGTTGGTCGCGATTTGAGGGTACACTTTACCTTTAAAGAGGCTTCGTGGGTCTCGGTAGGCGTGGCCCAGAAGCTGTTCGTGGAGTCTGGCTTTCACCATTCGTATGGAGGTTGCCCGGGTGAGACTGTTAACTGGGTGAGACATCACCTGTTCCTGTTGTCTTCCCCGCAGCCTTGACTAGCTTTGAGGTGGTGATCCAGTATGGGCTGGCCACCCCGGAAGGACTCGCTGTAGACTGGATTGCCGGCAACATCTACTGGGTCGAAAGCAACCTGGACCAGATCGAGGTGGCCAAACTGGACGGGACCATGAGGAGTACCCTGCTGGCTGGCGACATTGAGCATCCCCGTGCCATTGCCCTGGACCCACGAGACGGGTATGGTATTGAAGGGAAGAGGCTGAGGTGCACTGTTACTTCCCTTTGGGCCAAGGGATCTCAAAAAGCAGCCTCAATCTCTCCCTCCTTGTGAGCAAAATTTCTACTTTGTGAGCCACTGGCAATAAAGTTGTGAGCAAGCCATTTGGCCACTGCATAAATTAGTTTGCTCCGGAGCTATCCTACCTGACCTAAGACAAAAAACTGTGGGCCGGAGGCTAAAAAAACTGTGAGCCGGCTCACACTAACTCAGCTTAGAGGGAACACTGGACCAGAGTGTTTTCTGCAAGTCTGTACACAAAATTTAGCACTGCACTCAGATCCCCGCATTTAGAGACCAATGCTCCCTCTAAGCTGTGGAGTCTTGTGAGCAAAAATTCTACTTTGTGAGCTCCTGCAATAAAGTCGTGAGGGAGTGATTTGGCTACTGCATAAGTTAGTTTGCTCTGGAGCCATCCTTCCTGAGCTAAGACAAGAATGTGTGAGCCGGAGGCTAAGAAACTGTGAGCTGGCTCGCACTAATTCAGCTTAGAGGGAACACTGTTAGAGACCCTCAGCTCTGGTGGGTTTTTTTTTGGGGGGGGAGGTTTCTAGTTCTCATGTCCGCAAAGAAGCACTTCAAAGGGTACAGGTGTTGCCAGGTGAAGTCATAGCAGGTAGTGAATCTGGGCTGTTTCACAACAAATACCCAGTAGGACAAAAAGGAAATAATGCCAGGTGATAGATGAATTATTTATTATACGCGTTTCACCATGCAGGCTTTGTCAAGGGGAATCTACAAAAACATAATTTTGTATTTAATTCAGATAATAGAAAGGCTCCTTGATAAAAGTTATAAATCATTCATCTATCACCTGGCATTTCCCCCCCTCCCCTTTTTGTTCTGTTGGCACACTGCTGGGTTCAGCCCAGTTTTTCTTCATTTTGCATCTCCCAGTACACATGACACACAACAGGCAAACAAGCTGGGTGTTCATGAAGCACGTTCCTGCAAGAAACTGGTTTGTAAGAATGTTACTGGAACAGAGACCGTCTCTACCCTTTCCGGGCTGGCTGTGACCCATATGGAGAGATTATTTGTCTCTGTTAAAAGCAAAGCACAGGAGACCTGTGGGATTTATTTATTTATTTGTTTGTTTGTTTGTTTGTTTCACTTTTACCCCGCCCTCCCCACCAAGCGGGCTCAGGACGGCTTCCAAAAACTGATAAGCGGTATACATTTTACAGTAAGGGCTTTAAAGGTCAAAACCAGCACCTTGAAACGAATCCGGAATGCTATTGGGAGCCAGTGCAGAGTCAAGTACAGGCTGGATGTGCTCCCACCTGGGGAGACCCATCAACAGCCTGGCCGCCGCATTCTGCACCAGCTGCAGCTTCCGGAGTTGCACCAAGGGCAGCCCCATGTAGAGAGCATTGCAGTAGTCCAACCTCAAGGTGACCATAGCATGGATCACTGCAGCCAGATCATTGCGTTCGAGGAAGGGAACCAACTGCCTAATCAGCCGAAGATGGTAAAAGACTGCCTTGGCAGCGGCTGCTACCTGGGCCTCCATTGTTAAGGAAGCATTCAGGAGCACTCCCAAACTCTTGACCCTCGGAGCTGGTGGGGGAAAAGCCTGTTGTCCTGTGCACAAAGACTGTGCAAACGCTGAAGAGATACGGCATCCCTTTCCCAGACAACTCTTACAGGGATGTCTCTTGCCTCTGTTCATATAAATGTAACCCTAGGAAAGTATAATAATTGAAGATTGGTAGCTAACTTCTGAACAAGGAAAATGCCGTTAGCTCTTGCAGAATAAGTGAAGCTCTGATCCGGTGTGTGGAGAAGGATGTTGCCTGTCTTATAGAATCAAAGAATCATAGAATTCCAGGGTCATCTAGTCCAACTCTCCGCACAATGCAGGATATTCACAAATACCTCCCCCTCCACACCCCCAGTGGCCGCTGTTCCATGCCCAGAAGATGACAAAAAACCTCCAGGATCTCCAGCCAAACTGGCCTGGAGAAAAATTGCTTCCTGACCCCCAAAGTGGCGATCAGCATTTCCCTGGGCATGTAAGAAAGGGCCACAAGAACTAAGCACTCATGCAACCCTTCCTGTCCTCCCTCTCATGATCTGTATGCCTTTTTCTCTCCAGGATACTTTTCTGGACTGACTGGGATGCTAGCCTGCCCCGCATTGAAGCTGCTTCCATGAGTGGTGAGGGAAGACGTGTCATCCACAAGGAAACCGGCTCAGGTGGCTGGCCTAATGGACTCACGGTTGACTACCTGGAGAAGCGCATTTTGTGGATTGATGCCAGGTTGGTAGTTGAGCTGCACTAGATATTATCTTAAGTTTTTCTTTTTGCAGCATGCTGCTTCCTTCGTGTATTAGCAGTGCTATTTTTGGGCAGGAACGCAGAGGAACGGAGTTCCGGCTGGCTCCCGAGTTGGCCACGCCCAGCAGGAACTCATTAGCATAATAGGCCGCACCCAACAGCAGAAATTCATTAGGATTGGCTACATTAGGGGTGTGTGGCCTAACATGCAAAGGAGTTCCTGCTACAAAAAAGCCCTGGGTTTGAACAACAAACAAGGTAAACGGAATAAGAAGCAAAAGGTGGGTATGGCTGGATGAGCCCACTTCCGGTAACATGGGGGTGCGGCCTAATGTGCTAATAAGCTGTGCTGTCAGGGGTGTGGCCTATTATGCTAATGCGTTCCTGCTGGGCTTTTTCTACAAAAAGAGCCCTGGTTAAGAATGTGGGTGATATTGTATCTTAGCCAGTCAGGGATTTTGTAGGGAGGCAGATTAACATTTATTAAAATGGGTGCAGAAGCATTCTCTTATGGGTAAATATTAATTTCCCCCTTCTGTTCATAATATTAACAAAGTTTTGCTGCTGTACTACTATTAAATATGATCGAAGTTGCCAGCCAGGGTGGGCGAGAAGGAGCTGAGACTGAAAAAGGAGGGGGGAGAAAAATTAGAAGTGGAGATGGATGAATGGCAGATCATGAAAGGAAGAGAGCAAAATGAAGGAGAAAGTGTGGAAAAGAGTTTGAGAAATGTAGGAAAAAGCAATGACGGTTTTATTTTTACTGCTCCTTTACAAGATCTGGCTGTGCAGGAGCTGGGTGGAACTCAAGGAAAAGGGAAACCATAGACCTAGTTAGGAGGCTGCATCCTGGCACTGACTATAACTTGTCTTGTCTGGTCTTGCCATGCTCCAGTGCTGGTTTGGCTGATAGGTTTAGCAGAATCTGAGAAATAAGGGTTACCCTCAGCCTCTTAGTAAACTTTGCAGAAAGGCTGAGCCAGCAGAGTCAGATACTGCTCTTTATTGTGCTCTGCCTTCCCTGCGCCCCTACTGAGTGTAGTCAGAACTGCATTAGTATTTTTAATGCATTCCCTGAATACAGCATGATGCCAAACAACCCCATTGCCAGAGCGACGCATAGCGTCACATCCTGGCGACGGTGGTGCAACGCGTATCACTGTCCTCTGTGGCAGGGATCCTGTGAAGACGTGCGGATCCCCAGCCCTATTTGACTCTCAGAAGCTGATACCCCCAAAAACCTTGTTCTCTAAGTTGCTGGCCTGTAATTTCCTAGTTCCCCTCTAGATCCCTTTTTATAATCAGTGGGACATGTGCTGCACTTCAGTACAGTGGCTGATTTTAGTGACAGGTTACATATGGGTGTTAGTACATGGGCAATGATGTCACTTCTGGGTTCACACTGAAAGTGATTTCTTGCAGTCAGAGCAACGGTGATTTTTGCCCCAGTTTGTAACCTGGGTAGGTGGCCTACTGCTATAGCAAGAGACCTGGCAGCCTTAGGGCCTACCCATGCTCAGTGCCCACCATTTCCTGCTTCCTTTCTCTCTCTCTCTCTCTCTCTCTCTCTCTCTCTCTCTCTGCATCCATTGTCATAGAGTTGCCATTCCATTCTTATCTTACATTCATATTGATGCATGCAGATTCTTGTGATCGCTTGCTTTTTCTGTCCCCCCTTTCTTTTTCTAACACCCTGGCTGCCTCTGAAGAAACACTGACATAGTCTGTCAATATTCCTCCACAGGTCGGACGCCATCTATTCTGCCCTCTATGACGGCTCAGGCCACATCGAGGTGCTGCGAGGGCATGAGTACCTGTCGCACCCTTTTGCCGTCACGCTCTACGGTGGTGAGGTGTACTGGACCGACTGGCGCACAAACACCCTGGCCAAGGCCAACAAGTGGACCGGTCACAACGTCACTGTTGTTCAAAGAACCAACACACAGCCCTTCGACTTGCAGGTCTATCACCCCTCTCGCCAGCCTCTAGGTGAGATGCAGCCGTGGGTGGGGAGCGAGGGGAGGGGTGCACCCAAGAGGACCGTGGGAAGTGAAGGGAGGTGGCTGAAGCTATGCTCACACTAACATTTAAAGGTCTTATACCCAGGCCAGAAGACTTTATGTTGCCCTAAGAGCTCATGGGTAACAAGAGTGTGTGTAACAGTTGTGCCTCCTTGCCTGATCCTTGATGAATGAGCCAGTTTGATGTAGTGGTTAAGAGTGTGGACTCTAATCTGGGAGAAGCGGGTTTGATTTCCCACGCCTTCACATCCAGCTGCTGGTGTGACCTTGGGTCAGTCACAAGTTCTCTCAACTGTTCTCTCAAGAGCAGTCCTCATAAGAGCTCTCTCAGCTCCAGCTACCTCACAGGGTGTCTGTTTTGGGGAGGGGAAGGGAAAGGAGATTGTAAACCGCTCTGAGACTCCGAGTGAAGGAGGGGTTATAAATTCAATCTCCTCCTCCTCCCCTTCTCCCCCACCTCCTCCTCCTCCTTCCCCTTGATTTTTTTTTGTACAGGCCTCCTAGAGCAATTGGGAGGCCTTTGAACTAGATGAAGTAAATTGGATGGCACTTGATAGATATTTTATGGTTTTTGAGGTTCTTTGTGGATTGATTTTCTGGGTTTTACAGTAGATATTTGGCTACTTCTTCCAGGTCTCTGTGCATCAGCCTTTTGGGCCTTGCACCTATTTAGAGCTTCAGTTCGTAAAGTTCTAAGAGCGGGCTTTTAGGCATGAAGGTCTTTTCCTTCAGAGGCATGCAGTGCAATCCTAAACAAAGTTACACCTGCCTAACACTTTTGAAATCAATGGATTTAGAACTCTGTTTGGGATTATACTAACAGATGCGGCTGTGCCTGCCCAAAGGGAAGAAGTATTGTATGCCCTCTGTTATTGTTTTGCCCACCAATGAGGCAGCAGAATTTTTCTACAGAGTCCCTTTTCTCTGAGGGTTAGCCTTGACCACAGAAAAAGATATCATCATTTTTCTCTTCTTGCATCCTTTTTTCCTCTTTTTCGTTTCTATCTGTTGTTCTTCTGTGGTGCACTGGCACCTGTGAAGAAGAAGACAATACAAAGTGTAAGGGGTTTTTTTTTGAGGGGGGGGAGACTTCCTTTGGCTACCAACCGTGAATAATGTCTGCTATGCTCTTAAGAATGACATAAAATTTAGACATGTATCCACTAGCTCAGACTGGGAAAGCAGGCAAATCTGATCCTCCAGGATATGAGCCACCCTCTAGGAGAGAACCTTTTCTGCCCAAGAAGCATTTTTAACCCACTTGAGAACCCACAAGGGCGGGAAGCATCCTGAATAAATAAATACCTGTTGCTGTAAATGAGCTGATGCCATGTGAGAGGAAGAGAGAAGGGCAGGCAAGCAGGTGGAGGGTCCAGTGGCATTTCCCCTTTGTTAACCCCATATGTCTTAAAGGCGCAGACAGAGTCTCTCAGCGTGGATACTTCCTTATGGAACATTGAGCAAGAGCAGCTGCACAACACTTAATAGCCTTTTCGGCTTTGCAAGTCAAAGCCTGATGGCAGATCTCGGACGCTAAGCAGGGCCGGCTCTGGCAAGTACTTGGAAGGGCGACCCCCAAGGAATACCAGGGCCGGGAGGCAGAGGCAGGCAATATCAAGCCACCTCTCTGAAACGTCCTAGGGGTCGCGAGAAGCCACCGTGACTTCCAAGCTTGCAAGCGCACACACACGCCCAAAATACTCACCGAAAATACATTTAAAGAATATTTAAATATGAAGGCAGAGCCGTGTGAGGATTGTAATATGTGGATGAGAATGGTTCAGACGGGTCTTTGTCACTGGTGATTTGGGGATTCCTGTTGTAGGCTGTCCCTGATCTGAATGGCCCAGCCTGGCCTGATCTTGTCAGGTCTCAGAAGCGAAGCAGAGCTGGCCTTAGTTAGTACTTGGATGGGAGACCACCGAGGAAGTCCAGGGTTCCTACCCAGGGGCAGGCCACGGCAAGCCACCTCTGTACGTCTCTTGCCTTGAGAATCCTACGAGGTCACCATAAACTGGCTGTGACTTAATGCCACTTTCTACCACCACCACTATTGTAGGCTGTAGCCTTGACCTTTGTCTCTTACCCTCTGTGTCACCTCTGTAGAAGCTCTGCAGGACAGAGCTGGAGGAGGCAAAAAATCCAGGTCTATACTGGCCAACTAGATAGAAATCATAAGAACATAAGAGAAGCCCATGTTGGATCAGGCCAATGGCCCATCCAGTCCAACACTCTGTCACACAGTGGCCAAAAACGCCAGGTGCCCTCAGGAGGTCCAAATCTCCCCTTCCAACATGGCTTTGTGTAACCTCTCCGATTGCTCCTGTGACTTCCGTGAGGTAGAGTTGTGTTTCTTCTCCTCTCTTCAGAATAAGCTTTGCGTTTCTCACAGGATCTGGGAGATCTTAACCTGTTTTCTTTCTTGCTTTTGTTCGCGGTTCCAGCTCCCAACCCATGCGAGGCCAATGGAGGCAGAGGCCGTTGCTCTCACCTCTGCCTTATCAATTACAACAGCACCTACTCCTGTGCCTGCCCTCACCTCATGAAGCTAGACAAGGACAACACTACATGCTACGGTAAATGAAAGGGGAGAGTTCCTGAGTTCCAGAGTGTGCGTACTCTGAAGAGAATAATGAGATCTGGAATAATGTTGTGTTGATATGGCCTCTGGGTCCGTGTGGACATTCGCCACACAACCAGTCTAGAATCTCGATACTCTCATCGCTAGTAAACCAACCTGTTCTTAATCATCGGAATCCTCTTTGGTGTGAGTTTTCTTCACGTCTTCCTGGCCTCTGTCTCGTTCTATAGAATTTAGGAAGTTCCTGCTGTACGCCCGCCAAATGGAGATACGGGGAGTTGACATTGACAGCCCTTACTACAATTACATCATCTCTTTCACTGTGCCTGATATCGACAACGTCACTGTGGTTGACTACGATGCCGTGGAGCGGCGGATCTACTGGTCCGACGTCCGCACGCAAACCATCAAGAGGGCATTCATCAACGGAACTGGTGTGGAAACGTGTCTGCAGGTGGGCACTATCCATCCATCATGCTGTCTTTCTCTTTCCCCTTTCCCTTTCTCCCCCTTTCACCTTGCAGCGCTTTGAGATGAGTCAGCCGGACAGAACTAGAAACCGTCATGAAAATTGTAAGCCTTCCCCCAAATTCCACAGGGGGTATTCGTTCTGGTTTTATTGCAGAATTCTTCTCTGGAATTCTCGATGGCTTCATGATGACTCTTAATAATGTATTTCTAGCAGCTTCCTAAACAGAGTTGACTTCAGCGGGTTTAGAAGGGTATAATTCAGCTTAGGGCGGTAGTGTTAACGCTAGCTAAATCAGGAGAAAGAAACTTCTTAAGCACTGTTTAAATGTGGAACAAGGTGATCTGTTTGGAAGCAGTTTTCCAAGTGTGTCGCGTTTATGTGTTCATTGAGAAAGGAGAGCTGCTTCCCTTATTCCAGAAGTGACAAGTATGTGATTGCCATCAAACCTTCTTTCACTCATTTGCTTTGCCTCTTCTTCATTTTTTTCTGCTGCACAGCACAACCTTTCTTCTGTTTGCAATAATGTATTCACCCAATATTTTGTTTGCAATAATGTATTTACAGAACGTCCCCCCCCCCATTTTTCTCATTCTTGCTGTGTTTTGCTTGCAGAAAAAGGGGAGGGAAGTTGAAAATATATTGGCTCAACTTGAGAAAACATCTGCTGAAAAAGTGGCAGAAAAATTACAGAATTTTTCGGGGGGGGGGAGGGGGATGGTGTAGCCTGATTCCTAACGTAGCCTATTTCATCTTCCCCCCAGGGCTTCTCTGGTTCCAGAGAGATTTAATTCCCTGTCGTGCACCCTTTCTTGTTATATGCCCTGTTACACACCCTTTCTTTCAAGTGGAAGTTACTGGCGCGGTATTGTTAGATTTCATCATTGTTCTCGGTGGACGCATAGCACTTGTCATATGCTCTGTTTGCCCCATTAATCTAGAAACCTCTCCCTTCTCTCGCTAAGCTTTACCTCTGTCTCCTCTCCTTGATCACCTCTCCACCTTCTTTGCCTCGTAGACTTACCCAATGCCCATGGCCTAGCTGTGGACTGGATCTCCAGGAACCTCTTCTGGACCAGCTACGATGCCAACAAGAAGCAGATCAACGTTGCCCGGCTAGATGGCTCATTCAAGAATGCTGTGATTCAAGGACTGGACAAACCCCATTGCCTGGTTGTGCATCCTCACAAAGGGTAAGACGAGAGCAGCACGGGGAGAGTGGCTCAAAGTGAACAGTGGGGGAGAGATCTTGGGTGGCACTCCTCCATCTTCTGGGAAGGGGAAGCCACGTGATTTCCACATAACCATTCCACATTAACCGAACCAGGATAACTCAAGTCTTCTTTAATATCACTTTTGTCGTAGCTACTCCCTTTTTGCAGCCATGTTGTAATACAGCGTATTCAGGGCTATTTTGGGGCAGGAACGCACAGGAACGGAGTTCCGGCTGGCTCCCAAGTTGGCCACGCCCAGCAGGAACTCATTAGCATAATAGGCCACACCCAACAGCAGGAACTCATTAGGATTGGCTACATTAGGGGTGTGTGGCCTAACATGCAAAGGAGTTCCTGCTACAAAAAAAGGCCCTGGGTTTTGACAACAAACAAGGTAAACAGAATAACAAGCAAAAGGTGGGTGTGGCTGGATGACCACACTTCTGGTAACATGGGGGTGCGGCCTAATATGCCAATAAGCTGTGCTGTCAGGGGTGTGGCCTAATAGGAGATCAAATCAGTCAATCCTAAAAGTAATCAACCCTGACTGTTCCCTGGAAGGCCAGATAATGAAACTGAAGCTCAAATACTTTGGCCACCCAATGAGAAGGGAGCACTCCCTGGAGAAGACCCTGATGCTGGGAGATATTGAAGGTCAAAGAAGACGGGGACGGCAAAGGATGAGATGGTTAGACAGTGTCATTGATGCAACGAACATGAAGTTGAGCAAACTTCAGAGGACGGCGGAAGACCGGAAGGCCTGGCGGGATCTGGTCCATGGGGTCGCAAAGAGTTGGACTCGACTGTGCGACTGAACAACAACAACCCCCCCAAGCAGCGTTCCCTCTAAGCTAAGTTAGTGTGAGCTAGTTCACAGTTTTTTAGCCTCCAGCTCATTCATTTTTGTCTTAGCTCAGGAAGGAGGGCTCCAAAGCAAACTAATTTATGGAGGAGCCAAGTCACTCGCTCACAACTTTAATGGCAGTAGCTCGCAAAGTAGAATTTTTGCTCACAGGATTCCACATCTTAGAGGGAACATCATCCCTGACATGTTGCCCATGGGCACCATGGCACCCGCTGACACCTTCCCTGGTGTTTGCCAAGTGTATTTAGAAAGTGGGCAGGGCCAGATGGGGCTTTTGCCTAGCAAGGCTTCTGATTGGCCACTGGAGATTTGATTGGACGTGCAGATTTTTTAAAACGTTGCTTTAGCAGCAGCTGCCACCGCGGCACGAGGACCTTCACTATGTGACTGAAGGTAAGCAGCAGCAGCTGTTGCAAGGCTGTTTCCGCTTCCTATGGCAGCCGTTTTTTAGCTGCACCCACCACACTGTGTTGGAATTCCAAACGTGCCTGCAGGCTCAAAAAGACCAGGGACTAGTATCTGGGAGACCCAAGTTCAAATCCCCCACTCTGCCGTGGAAACCTGCTGGGTGACTTTGGACCAGTCACACATTTATAATAGATGCTTATGATACTCAGATATCAGGCATGCCTACCTGGAGACAGTGTTGTTTTTTAAGGGCCTGGGGGAGAAATCTAGGGTCTGGGATTTATTCAGAATTCTTTTCCGCGGGCTTTCTGAAGCCACTGCAGTTGGGAGGAAGGGGAAGGACTAAAATCCCCAGTGCCCTGCATTTGCCCCCAGAAGTCCTGAATGCCCCTTACAGGTTGTAGAGCATCCCCTGGGGTTGGGGATATTTGGCCCCCTGTTTAGAATCACTGTGCTAACCTATAGAAATCCAGAGTCTTCCCTAAGTGAACAGGAAGCTAATTATCCAGACCTTGAGTTTCGCAGTGTCAAGCTCTTTTGGGGAAGGGTGATTCTCCAGTTGTCACAGTCCTTCTCCAGTTCCTTCCAGGATCCCAACCGTGGGGCAGTGAGATAACTGTAGACTCTGGCCATGCAAAACTACAGCTTGATTTGGCAGCCTTCTTCTGAGACAGGACTCTGGACTTCTTCCCTAAAGTTCAGTCCTGATGCTGTCACTGCTCTCCAGCTTGTTATTATTTATGTATTATTTATTTATTTTATTACATGTATACCCCGCCCTCCCCGCACGCGGGCTCAGGGCGGCTTACATAGGCACAACCGTGCAATAAAATACAACACGATTAAAACAATTTAGGCACCCAAAGTGCGATAAAATTACACAGTTAACCACTTAAAACACAATTCAATCTTACAGAATGCACCGGTGATTAAAATACTCACTCATTGTTATATGTCACAGTGAGGTCAGAAGAAAGGGGGCGTGCTATGGGCCGAGATGTTCCGGATGGCTAATCAGCCCACCCCCATTGTTAAATACCCCCAAATAGCTAGGTCAGAGGAAGGTAACCCTCAGTGCATGTGCCATGCAGGAGCACACTAGATCACCAAGGGGCTGAGCTGAGCTCCTGAGGCACTGGCAGTGCTGCTGGGTCGCAGCTTGCTCCTGGGGACACTGGCCGAATGCAACCTTTCCGCCCATCTCTTTTAGGTTCACCTGAAAGGTTGCCTTCCCTGAACTGGGTGTTGTATAAATGTAGTTACAAAGGAAAACCCAAAAGTCCTGTCTAAAGGCTTATATTCTAATAGATTAGCAAGCATAATGGGGGGGGGGTGAATAAAAAGAAAAGAAGGGAAAGAAAACGGAGGAGGGGAACTGTTCAAATAAAGAACAATAAATTATGAGGATGTTGATGTAAACAAATAAGTCTTGAGGAATTTCTCTCTTTTTTTGTATTTTGTGTGTGTGTGTGTGTGTGTGTGTGTGTGCGCGCGCGCCTGGAAGTCATGGTTGACTTCTGGCAACCCTGAGTGGGGCTTGGACTTTTCAGAGAGTTGGTGTGCTATTGCCTGCCTCTGCCTCCCGGCCCTGGTATTCCTTGGAGGTCTCCATCTAGAGAGATTTCTTAAAGGCTAAAATAGGTCCTGAGTTATTTCTTAAATGCCAGAAGAGATCTAATCAAATGGCTGGCAGCGGGTAGTACATTCTAGGCATAGGCATAAGAAAAAAAAGGATGCAAACGAATGAAAGAAAGCTGTGCTTTAAACAGGAGGGGGGGGGGGATCCCTGAAGAATGCAGTGGAGAAATACAAAGAGAAGTATAGTGAAAGTGATGTTGAGAGGTAGAAGGGAAGAAAAGAATCCATGTTCCTAAAAGTAAATAACAAAATCTTTAATTAGATGATGAAAGGATGGGATAGTCACTGGAGTGCAAAATATTTTTATTTCCAAGGCAAGAAAATAATTTGAGCAGTTGAATGAAAAACTGAAGTCAAACGCCTAAGGTTGAGACAGTAGGTTGGATCCACACCAAATTTTCCATGGGCAGAATGGAACGTTCCTGCCTCCCCCCCCCTTTCCATCATAGCCACAAAATGCTGCTCAAGGGGATAGGGACCCCTGAGGAATGGCATGATGGGGGTCTGCAGTGGGAAGGGGGAATCAGTGGAAATTGCCACTTTAATCTGGATCCAACCCAGCAGTTACAGCGGGAATTACAGTAATCAGTCCATAGCCACATTGGTTTACCAGTGGAAAGAGAGAAGGGAAGGGAAGGGAAGGACACCAGCCACATTAATTCCAGGCAGAAGAAGGAAAGGAACTACAAGGGAAAACTTCCCATTGCTTGCTCAGTTAAGAGAAGTCAGGAGTACAGGGGATACCTGTGATGTTCCTGTTACTTGAACTTTACTAGAGAATCTGACCGTCTGTGATGGGAGTTAGATTGTTCGGCCACCTGGACATGCATCTGGAGAACAGAGTGGCCCTTCAGAATTCAGAAGCTGGCCATCCCTGTATAGGAGGGCTCACCAATGTAGTGCCCATGGGTGCCCTAATGCTCGCTGACACCTTTTCTGGCACCCTCCAGGTGTTTTTAGGAAGGGGGAGGGGTCAGGTGGCTATTGGAGATTTGAGTGACTGTGCCGATTTTTTTTAAGTGTTGCTTTGGCAGCAGCTGCCCCCATAGCACAAGGATCTTCACTGTATTGCTGAAGTTTAAGTTTTGGCAATCATTTTGTGGCTGGCTCCACCTCCTGTGGCAGCCATTTTGTTGATGTGCCCATCATGCCGTGACAGAATTTCAAATGTGCCCACATGTATAGGTATAGGCCTCCAGCTTTTCAATAGGGATCTTAATGCCTTTGACAAGCAGCATTAAACAAGGGAACAGTGCTAAAATCATTTTTCAGTATTTGTTGGGGCCACTAGAAGCCAAGTCTATTGGGGGCCAGAATGACCCCCTTTTCCCTTTTGATAAAGCTCAAACTTTAAAAAGATGGGCAGTGGGGAGGGAAGAGAGGGACTTCAGGGCACTGGAGTCCATCGGGGAGAAAGCACAACAGGAGTTAAAGAAAGCTTTATTTGGGTAAGCCAATTTTTCCCCATGATTTCTGAGGGCCAAAATATCCCCAGTGTCTTGAAAAGGTTAACTGTATATATTTTAAAAGAAACAAATAGCCATCTAACAGGGCTGTCCCAAGCAGAGTTAAACCCTTCTAAGTTGATTGAAGTCAGTGGGCTTTAGAAAGGTTTTAGAATTTAGAATGACACTGGAAATGTATGAGCTCATCCGATCATCTCAGTTCCTGTTGCTAAATTCTTCCTTTAGTCACACCCTTTCACAGTAATTTTCTGTCAGCTCTTTGCTGAGATGGACGTCAGCAAAGAAGATGAACCTGCCATCTCTGGCTCCTGCCTGGCCAATCAAATAACAGCAGTTATTTCATTCAGTACTATAAATACAAAATGCTTTCTATAAATACACTATAAATGCAAAAGGCATTCTTCTTCTGCCAAGTAATGTACTTATTCTGTGCATTAAAATTTATGTATTACAATGCTTTTCCACGTAATAATGTGGTACACAGTAATAAAAAGACGATGCCATTGGTTACACTGAATTTCTGATTTGACTGTGTTAGGGGTGAGGAGGTAGGCCATGACCTATATTTACGGTTAAAACCCCCCACAAACCCACACTTTTTATTCAGCCATTTTCCTGCGACCTTAAAAGTTTGCTGCTGTGAATCCGTTTCGAAAAGTTGGCAGAACATCAAGGATTGTAATTGCTCTGTCCCATCTTAAAACGCTCCTGTAGAAGCTCATTAAAACTTACAATTGGACCATTATCTTTTGAGGGTTTGGGGGGTAGGTGGGTTGATCCAGTTTCACAGGCAGGTCCCTGTAATGGAATGACCCAAATGGAATTTAAGAGGCATCTCTTAAGTGGATTTATTTCCTGTCTAAGCCCCATAACCACCCTCCACATTCAGCAACTGATTCCCTTCCTTTGGTTCCAAATTCCCAATCTGTACATAGGCTATAACGTCAGTAATCATCTTAAATGGGTCTGGCTGACATTTGAACTCCGTTTGGAATTACCAATGACAGACTGTCTGAATCTAAGGGAAGAAGTCTGTAATTTGAAGAGAGGGTATCATGAGATGTATGAGTGTGATGAAGGGGGCAGAATGTCAGTTGGTTTACACGTTGCTTGCTTGGCGAGGAAACCTTTATTGGGTTGGCAGCAGACTTTTCCCCTTAACTGAACTCTACATGTTTCCTTCCTATATAAATGCATAACGTTGAAATGGCACTATAGTGTTTTGCTTTGTAATATGAATGTGGGGTGGAGTGGGGTGTCATTTGCTAGGGAGAGTTGGCCAGTGGGAGGATGTGCTTAACCCTTCTCCTGCTTTCTGATTTTCTTCTGCAGTTAGCATCCCACTCCCCCAGCAGTTCTGCAACTGGAAGTAAGTCAGATCTGAGGGAGGAAAGCAGCCTAGTTATCCAAAGAGTCAGTCCTCCTATTTAATTGGGGGAAATTAGCTTTAAAGGAAACAAAGTGAGAGGGGGTAATTGGTGGATTTTCCACCAATGTTTACAGGGATTTTTCCCTTAAGAGAGCTCTCGAAATAAACCAGGCATATGTACAACTGGAAAGGTTTTTATTAAGAGAGTAATAAAAGGGCAGAACACACACACAAACACACTGAAAACACATACAAGGCTAGCTAAGAGGAAATCCGGGAGGAGAGGGGGAAAGCAATTTCGGGAAAGGGAATTAAGAACATAAGAACATAAGAGATGCCAATGTTGGATCAGGCCAAAGGCCCATCCAGTCCAACACTCTGTATCACACAGTGGCCAGAAATATCAGTGCCAACAGGAGGTCCACCAGTGGGGCCAGGACATTAGAAGCCCTCCCACTGTTGACCCCCCCCTGTTCAAATACAACAAGCCGATATGAATGCATGTGTTTTACACTTGTGTAGCTTTCTTGTAGAGTTAAATGGCTTTCTTTGGCTGCGGTCACACGCAACATTAGCCACGCAAGAGATACGGAAGACAAGCGGAGTTTCCGGTCGCGATCTCACCAGCACATCTGGGAAGCGTAGTGCTTCCGTGGCACAACTGAGGCTTCCTGCCGAAAAAGCGCAGCAAAAAACTAGTACCTTGGAGGTACTAGTTTCCAGAAACTGCGGGGCAAGGGCGGGCGTCTGATCGCGTTTCCGGTGGTATCCGGCGCCCGCCCATGTCCCCTTGCGGAAAAGGGGTTTTTTCCCCCCACGTCTCCGTGGATGCGCACACGCACCCAACGGAGCATGCGCATTCGTAGTGTACACGAAAAAAGAAAACCAGTTCGCCGCGCCGCGCGCTTCTTCATTGCGCGCAGGCGTGTGTTGTGATCGGCACCTCTCCCTTGCCATGGAACCTCCACAGTACCTCCACAGAACCTCCACAGTAGGTCTGATCGCTTTACTGCATGTTAGTTTGCCCCGGGGCAAACAGCCACACTTCTCCTCTGCAGTTTCCTGCCCGTGTGACAGGGGCCAAAGTGTAATTAAGAATTACCATTCTTAAAGAAAGAGGTCCATGGAGGCAGCAGCAAAACAACCAGCATTTCACGGAGAGAAACAGATTTGGGGGTGCATGTATGGATCCGAAAACACACACACACTGCTATGGGACAAGATGCTGTAATTTATAGGGCAAAATGCTCCCTGGGGCAAGCTGACGTATTTGCCCCAAGAACAATAACTTGATACGTTTTCCAGAGGTGGACAGTGATTTTGGGGAAGCTTGATGGGTTTTTCTGAGGTGGACTATAGGCGTAAATGGTGCTTGATGACCCTGTAAGTACCAGATAGGAAAACCTACCTGGTTTGGTGAATAGTGTTAAGTGTTGCTTAATTAGGGTAAATGGGTGTAGGGAAAAAAGAGACTGGTTGTTGGTGAGATTAGTCAGTAGGTTCTTGGAAGACCCATTGTCCTAAATTATGCATCTCTCTAGGGTGGGGAGGAGTTCATGAGCTAGCCAGCTGCTCTTACTCACACCTCTAAACTGCATGTCCAGGCTTGTCTCTGGCTGGCATCCATTTTGTGTCATTTTGGGGCAGGCAATGAATTGCACTTAGAATATTTGAAATTATATTTTAGGAAGGATGTGTATGGTTTTCTATCTATAAACTGCCCCTTAGCAAGAGGAGGGGTCTGACTGCTAACAATTGGTAGAAACATTTACTGGAGGAAGTCAGGCCGGTGCGAGACACACAGAAGACATCTTCTCTCCCGCCTGCTGATTCTCCTGTACAAATCATGCCCCTCCCCTGCCTGATCACATGACTTTGGCAAGCATGAATTTAGAACACGATGCCAAAATAAAGCCTAGTTCTGTTCTAGTAGAGAAGACTGAACTAGCAGCTTGCCAGAAGTAAGGCTTTAGGCAATGTTATGTCTGTATTTCATGGAACTTTGGTTTGTTTGTCTCATTCATAGGAAGCTGTACTGGACAGATGGAGATAACCTCAACATTGCCAACATGGATGGCGGCAATCGTAGCATGCTGTTCTCGAACCAAAAGGGCCCTGTCGGTATGGAGAAAATCCCGCCCCGCTACGTCTGTTCTTAACCCTTTGCCCTTTGGGGGTGGCCAAGAGCATGGATTCCCAGTGTTCCCCATGTCTCTTGGGCAACCCTTGGCCACATCGGTATCCCTGTCCAGCAGGGATGCCAGCCTACAGGTGGGACCTGGGGATCCTTCAAAATTACAGCTCATCCCCGGACTGCAGAGATCAGTTCTCATGGAGAAAACGGATGCTTTGGAGGTTGGACTCTATGGCATTGTACCACGAGAGCCAGACACTGGCCCGTCCCTTCCTGCCCTCTCTTTCACAGTCTGCCTTAAGTCACAGAGCCAGCACTGCTGTCAGATGGCCATCTAGTCTGTGCTTAAAAACCTCCAAAGAAGGAGGTTTGATTTTATTATTTGTTTATTTTGTCAGTGCACACCTTTTCATTTGGCCTGAACCAACATTCTTATAGTTTGGTAAGAATGTCAGAGAGCCAGTTTGGTGCAGTGGTTAAGAGCGGTAGGAGTCTAATCTGGAGAACTGGGTTCAGTTCCTCACTCCTCCACATGAAGCCAGCTGGGTGGCCTTGGGTCAGTCACAGCTCTCTCAGCCCCACCAACCTCACAGGGGAGAGGAAGGGAAGGTGATTGTAAGCGGCTTTGAAACTCCTTTGGGTAGTGAAGGGCGGGGTATAAAACCAATTCCTCTTCTTCTTACAATGACAATAGGGGGTATTGTCCAGTGGGTTGGATCTAGCTAGCTCTGTCATCAGTTCTGCAATTCCCGTCCTTAGTACAGCCTCCATCCCACACAGCTTTTGTTCATGCAGCTTCCACAATCCCTAGCGTAGCATTTTTAGATGCTCAAAGGAGACTTCCCCATTCCTTTTCCAGTTGCTGAAAAGCTGGCTTTATCCAACTCTACAGTACACGCACAGCATTTCACACTCGCACCCTCCACAGGCACATGGAGCAGGGCTTTCATGGAGGGCACTTGTAGCTCTTCCTCCGTCCTTAGGCCAGCATTGCAGTAACGCTTCTCTCATACCAGGCCTCTCCATCGACTACCAGGAAAGCAAGCTGTACTGGATCAGCTCCGGCAATGGCACCATCAACAGGTGTAACTTGGACGGCAGCGGCTTTGAGGTATTGGAGTCCATGAAGAGCCACTTGCGCAAGGCCACAGCGTTGGCTATCATGGGTAAGAGAGCAACTTCTGAGGGGGTGGGGAGCAAGGTTGGGGGAAAGGATTGGTTACTCTATATGTCCCTGCTCCTAAAACTCCTGCCAGTTGCCCGGGTTTGGCTGGCAACCGTATGCACCTATTCTGATACATGTGACTTGGTTTCCAGTTTATTTCTGGACACAATTCAAAACTCCGGGGTTTTGACCTGAATGGTTTGGGACCAGGATACTTCAGAGGACCACTTAACTCTAAAATACCAGGGAGCCAGTTTGGTGTAGTGGTTAGGAGCGCGGACTCTAATCTGGGAGAACCGGGTTTGATTCCCCACTCCTCCACATGCAGCCGCTGGTGTGACCTTGGGTCAGTTACAAGTTCTTTCAGAGCTGTTCTCTCATGAGCAGTTCTCGAGAGAGTTCTCTCAGCCCCACCTACCTCACAGGGTGTCTGTTGTGGGGAGGGGAAGGGAATGGAGATTGTAAGCCACTCTGAGACTCCTTCAGGTAGTGAAGGGCTGGGTATAAATCCAAACTCCTCTTCTCTTCTTCTAAAATGAACCTACTGATACCCTGAAGCAATCTGAATAGGCGTGGCTCTGTGTTACTTTGCCTGCAAAAACCTGCAGTTAGAAAACTGAGACAGAGCCTTCTCAGTAGCAGCACCAGGGCCTTGGAATTCCCTCCCCCTGGAACATGCAAAACGGCAGCAAGCCTTTCTGTTGATTTTCTGTAACTTGGTAAAGACTATTCTATGTATAAGCCGATTTTAACCTGCTTTGAGTTCAGCATATGACCTTGTGTTTTTTAATCTTCTTGTTCTGAATGGCTGCATTGGTTTATTGACTGAGCTGGCTTGTTCCCATTTTGCTGGTTTATTCTTATTTATTATTGTATTTAAACTGGTTTTATTACTGTAAGCAGGTTTGAGGCTCCTTGTGACCAAAAAGCAGGGGTAAAATATTTTAATAAGTATAACAAGTAACTACAGTTCACTTTGTCGGATGCTGAAACAGACAGAACAGTAGCAAGCACAAGGAAACACTGGTTTGAATTTTAAAAGGAAATGCCTCCATGGAATCTCCATCTTAAAGAGACACACTTTAATTCTTTTCTGTCACATTTTATCATGAAAAAGGAATAGCATTTGTTGAGCCTTGAGTTCATACAACTAAATCCCGATCAGCTCTTATTATAAAACCTGGTTGAAATGTTTAAGGTGTATTGCCTTAACATGCGAACGCCACCACTTTGTTCTCTTTCAAAATTCAAACACCTGTCCTTACATGATTCCTGTTGTTCAATCCATTTCTCCATCTTGTGACCTGGACCGTAGTCTTATGAATGCTTGCGCACTTGTAGAATAAAGAAGGTTTTAAAATGCTCAAAAAGGCCAAGTCTTTTCTTTTCTAATGCACAGCTCTGTAGACTAACACATTTCTAAATTTGCACTTTTTAAAAAGAAGTGTACATCATGTCCTTGATGCTAGGGATCAGCATAGTTTCAAACCGGAGCACGGTTTAGTAAGTCAGGTTTTATTCTTTGTGTGGAGCTGCAGTGACAACAATTTCCCTTTTCCCTGTTCCTGCCCACACACCAAGTCCTGGATTAGAGCAATCTAAAACACTGGCCGGCAATGCTCCCTCTAAGCTGTGGAGTCCTGTGAGCAAAAATTCTACTTTGTGAGCTACCGGCTCTAAAGTTGTGAGTGAGCGATTTGGCTGCTGCATAAGTCAGTTTGCTCTGGAGCCCTCCTTCTTGAACGAAGGCAAAAATGTGTGAGCCGGAGGCTAAAAAACTATGAGCTAGCTCACACTAACTCATCTTTGAGGGAACAGTGCTGGCCAGGATTAGAGGAACAAGTTGTCAAAAACACCACACCATCGCTTCATCATGAGTGCTCATTTTGCCTTTCCCCCCCACCTTCTTGAGTTTTAAAGTGGCAAACATTCATCAGCAAAATACACCGACTCTTTCCTCTGCAGCAGTGCCAGGAAGCCATCAGAATTGTTATAACTGTTGCCACAGCAGTGGCTTTTTAAAGTTTTGCACTTAAGGCATCTCCCAGTGTTGTGATGCCACTTCCAGCACACGTTAGAAGTGCCCTCAGCGTATCTGGGTGGCGCCACCCCGACACATTGACATCACTTCTGGCTCTCTCCATAAGGGCTCTTTTTGTAGCAGGAACTCATTTACATATTAGGCGACACACCCCTAATGTAGCCAGTCCTCCAAGAGCTTACAGTAGCCCCGGTAAGAAGAGCTCTGTAAGCTCTTGGAGGATTGGCTACATTAGGGGTGTGTTGCCTAATATGCAAAGGAGTTCCCGCTACAAAAAGAGCCTTCACAACAATACTGGGGAGGGTGCCAATTTCCCACTGTTTTCCCCACCACCACCCTAGCAAGCAACAGCAGGGGCATCAGGATACAGGCCCAGTACACCCTCCTTGAGGGCTCACCTTTTTGCAAACTGTCCTGCCCCCTCCTTCCTTTTATGGTAAAAGGGTAAAGGTTCCCTTGCTTGAAAGCCAGTCGAATCCGACTCTAGGGTTGCAGTGCTCATCTCAGTTTCCAAGCCAAAGAGCCAGCGCTGTCCGAAGACATTTCCGTGGTCATGTGGCCGGCATCAGGGAGTGATCTGTTTTGGTGAGGTTTTTTGTAGATTTTCTCCACTGCATCCCCGACTTGGGCATTAGGTCAGTCCCCTTTCTGTAAAAGAGAAAAGGAATACACTTTGTTCACAGGATTCTTAGGCCGTGATGAAGACCATGAACAAGGCATCCATGTGGGTACCTGTGTCCAGGGATTTTGGCTCAGTGGCAGACAGGCCTGTAACGGGCTCCACCCTCTTTCTTAAAGACACAGCCCCACAAGAATTTATCCTGTAAATGCTTTTTTCCAATCATTTAAAAACTTTTTTAAAAGGCATGCACTCCGTTAAGCAGAGTGGGGTGCTGTAGTTGACTGATTCCTGCACTGAGCAAGGGGGTTGGAGTAGGTGACCTCTAGGATCCCTTCTAACTCTGTGTCAAGAAACTGGTCTCCTTTAAGAGAGTTTGTACAACCCCGAACTTCTGCAAAAAAACTTGAGATTCAGCAAGACTAAAATTGCCAGGTCACTGCTTGTTGTCATGGAAGCAGGCGCCAGTCAGGTCAGGAGCTATTTCTCAAGGCCACCTGGTCATGGAACCCAGACGCCCTTCTTACCACATTGCATAGGCTAGTGCTCTAAATTGCCCTGCTGGCAGCTTCCAATCTAACTATGAGCTGTCCATTAGTCCCTCACATGACGTTTCTCTTTCTTGATCATGCTGTCTGCCCTGTGTCTGACCTCTGGGATGACAGGACCTTTTTTAATGTGCATTTTGTGTGTGTGTATGCCTGGAAGTCATGGTTGACTTCTGACGACCCCTAGTGGGGTTTGGACGTTTCAGAGAGGTGGCTTGCCATTGCCTGCCTCTGCATCCCGGCCCTGGTATTCCTTGGAGGTTTCCCATCCAAGTACCTGCCAGGGTTGGTCCTCCTTAGCTTCTGAGATCTGACGAGATCGGGCTTGCCTGGACTTTCATGCCTCACTTCTGGCCTCCCTGAAGACAAAACTGCAAGCCATTCACACAAATACACCTGTACATTTGGTTTGGTTTGATTAAATTAATCACACTTGCAAGCTGACACCATGTCAAACTCCTGAACTGCAGCACAAGTAGGGAGTGATCTGTTTTGGTGAGGTTTTCTGTAGATTTTCTCCACTGCTTCCCCCGACTTGTGCATTAGGCCAGTCCCCTTTCTGTAAAAGAGAAAAGTAATACACTTTGTTCACGGGATTCTTAGGCCGTGATGAAGACCATGAACAAGGCATCCATGTGGGTACCTGTGTCCAGGGATTTTGGCTCAGTGGCAGACAGGCCTGTAACGGGCTCCACCCTCTTTCTTAAAGACACAGCCCCACAAGAATTTATCCTGTAAATGCTTTTTTCCAATCATTTAAAAACTTTTTTAAAAGGCATGCACTCCGTTAAGCAGAGTGGGGTGCTGTAGTTGACTGATTCCTGCACTGAGCAAGGGGGTTGGAGTAGGTGACCTCTAGGTTCCCTTCTAACTCTCTGTCAAGAAACTGATCTCCTTTAAGAGAATTTTGCTGCCTAAGTGTTAACTTTCTTGACTGTAGAGGTCATCACCCCCACCTGCCAGCTTGTTATCAGACCTTGTTGCTTAGGCTGGCAGAAGTGATTAACTTGCAGCCGCTGAGAACTGTCATTTAAAGTGGCTGACAGCTTGCAATGTAGAGATCTATCCTGGTAACAGCTTTCTTTTGGCTAAATGGTTAATAGGCTGAGGGTGATTGCTAGCGTAAGAACACTTATGTAGAATAGACAGCTTGAGAAGACGCTGAGAGAGGGAAGAGTAGTTGAGTCATAATCCTCAGAATTCTGGCTTTTCTTTCCGCACTGAGAATTTCAGCCCTGGCAGAAAAAAAAAATTGCCCCCCAAGCCACAAAATCCTGGCTATGGGCCTGGTGGCAGAGCATGTGTTTCTGGCTATGAGCCTGGTGGCAGAGCACGTGTTTTGCATGCAGAAGTTCCCATGTTCAGTCCCTGGCATTTCTGGTTTAAATGGGTTCAGACATAGGTGATAGTAGTATGTGATGAAGGAGATCTTAACTGGCAAACTTTCTGAGCCACTGCTGGTCAGAGAGGACCACCCTGAAACAAATGGACCCATGATCAGACTCAGTAGTGGGCAGCTTTGTATGTAGCACCTGGTCCCCCACCCCAAAGTCCTTCCAGCAATATTTCTGATTTGCTCAGTCCTAAACAATTGCCCTGACCTGAATGGCCCAGGCTAGCCTGATCACATCTCGGTCAGCCGTGGCTAATATCTGGATGGGAGACCTCCAGGAAAGTCCAAGTCTGCTACGGGGAGCCAGGCCATGGCCACAACTCTGTTTGTCTCTTGCCTTGAAAACTCTACGGGGTCACCGTAAGACAGCTGCGACTTGACGGCACTTTCCGCCGCCAACCAAGAGCACGAGCCCCCATTCCGTACGCACCTAAGCCTCACTTTCCTCTCTCCCAGGTGACAAGTTGTGGTGGGCTGACCAGGCTGCCGAGAAAATGGGCACCTGCAACAAGAAGGATGGGTCGGAGGCCGCCGTGCTGCGCAATAGCACCACCCTGGTCATGCACATGAAAGTCTACGATGAGAGCATTCAGCAGCTAGGTGAGTTCCGGGGATGTGCAGATTATTGTAGGTCACAGCTCTGCTTCGATCCAGGGGAGGGCCTGAAGCATCATGGGAAAACGTGAGCGGGTGAGGAGGCAGGGAGACATTGGCGATGTCCCGCACTCTTTATAGGAAACAGCCACAAGCAGACCAGCACCTATGATAGCTCACTGTAAAGGACCCAATCCAAGTGCTGTACAAAACATGAATTATTATTCAGAAAAATATACCTTTCTCCATAGTTTTCTTCATACGAAAACATTACATGGAGACACAGCCTCAAAAAGTGGAACACAAAGGCAACGTGGGTGTAAAGATACTATATACACAGTCGAATATCTTGTGCCTAGGAACACAGTTCCAAAACAAAGTCCAACAGTATTCTCATAGAATAGAACCTGGAAAGAAAATTGTAGGCTCCCGGCTACTGATCTCATGTTTGAAAGGAAAATGTGTTGCCACAGACTGGTCACAGTCGCATCTCAGATGAAGCTGTTTTGAGAAACGGGAGAAAGAAGGATGGTCGACAGGCCCATCAGAACAGAACATTAATTATACGGCTGTGCCTTCTGTCAGGCAACGTGGGAGTTAAATTGTTGGACTTTATTTTGGAATTGTGTGCCTAGGCACAAGAGATTGGACTGTATATATTGTGTCTTTAAACCTACGTTGCCTTTGTTTTCCACTTTTTGAGACTGTCTCTCCTTGTAATGTTTTTGTATGAAGAAAACTATGGAGAAAGATCTGTTTTTTGAATAATAAAAATTCATGTTTTGTACAGCACTCGGATTGGGTCTTTTATAGTGAGGTACTTTATAGGAAAGACTATACAAGCCTGGGGAGGCAGCCTTCGGGATTTGGTGGTTTTTAAGGTAATTGCAGTCACCCTAGAACAGCCTTCCTGGTCTGTCAACGAGGCCCAGACATGCCCCCTTCAGTCTGTGAAGCCAAATGTCCAGGCGGAGAAACTGGCTGTCTCCACACAACAGTGCCCCCCCCCATTTCCTTGTTTCGCTTCACTGTTTCAGGCACCAACCCCTGCAGCATCAACAATGGAGACTGCTCCCAGCTCTGTCTTCCCACCTCGGAGACTTCTCGTTCCTGCATGTGCACAGCCGGCTACAGCTTGAAGACTGGACAGCAGTCTTGTGAAGGTGAGCCGCCGTCACTGGGCTCCTGTAGGTTTTGTGGAGGGTGGGGTGGCATGCAATTCTGGGATCTCCTTCCTGGGAAAGGTGCAGCTCAGCATGTCTGAGTGGTGTTGGATAGCGCCCCCTAGTGGCTAATGGAAGTTCTCAGTTGTTGGCAACAAAGCTACAAATACTGTGAGTTTGCCATAATTAATTGAGGTCACTGTACATGACATTGAGTTCTGTGATAATTTGAATATACCCCCCCCGATGCAGTCATGCAGGCTGCTTTTTGAAGGAGGAGAACATAAGAGGTGTTCTATGGGTCCAAATCACTGGTCCATCTAGTCCAGCATCCTCTTTTACACAGTGGCCCACCAGTTGCCGTGGAAGGTTGCAAATAGGGCATCAGAAGGCATCAGCAAAGAGTCTTGCTGGATCAGGCCAGTGATCCACCTAGTCCAGCATCCAGTATTGCACATTGGCCAACCTAGTTGCCCTAGGTAGCCAGCTAATAAAATAATTTCTCTGCTTAGGGCAGGTGAACACTGACTGTGGACAAGTTTACAGCCCATTTTATGTATAAGATTGTTTTCAGTATCAAGAGTTTCTGTGAAATTCCAGAGACCTCTTCTGTTCTTCCCTCTCAGGAGCATAAGTAGTTGTCCTCCCATGCATGAACAGCGGCACTCTGGGAAGGAATGGAGCACGTCCTTGCCTGGTCACGTTCACACTGACACTTCAGGAGCACTTCAGTTTAAAACCAAAAACAAAATAGCCAGCCTCAAATCTCTCTCCCACCCTCCTTATAAGATTCCTGCCATTCAACCCCCCTGGAAAGCCCCTGACAAACAGGCAGGCTCTGCAGTGCCTCCTGAAGATCTCCAGAGAGGGGACCCCCCCCAGCTCTTCGGGGAGCAGGCGCCATGATGGGAAAGGCATTGCTGAGATAAAGCTCACCAAAGCGCTTTGAACTTTGTAAAGTGATATATAAAACCTGAACATTCCAGATGGGTGGCCATGTCAGCTATTAGTGTGTGATGAGAACGTAAGAAAAAAAGGTTAAATTTCAATGGTTCTTACCCATCACGTTGCTTAAAAAAAAGGGGGAAAGCAGATTTCATTGAATTCTGAATCTGAGAGATTCAAAGATTAATGGATTGGGCCAGTTTATCTAGAAGCTGTTGCGTAGGTGGACACATGACTTAACCGAGCCTTCTGATTCGTGATTGCTTAAGGTATGAGAGGGTGCTGATCTGAGCATGCTCCGATGGACACTGTTTCCACAATGAGTGCCATTTATCCAGCATTTATCCCAACTCTAAGATCCATCCCTGCCCCACCACCTGAGACCCCGATTTCTAAATACATGGAAAAATGAACATGAGCTAACCCTGTGCCCTGTCACTGATCTGTGGGTCTTCCCATGTGTTTTATGCTGAGGCTCCAAGTCTGTACCTCTTCCTTTCTGACATGCAGGGGTTGGCTCTTTCCTCCTCTACTCTGTGCACGAGGGTATCCGTGGCATCCCGTTGGACCCCAATGACAAGTCTGATGCATTGGTGCCCGTCTCCGGTACCTCGCTGGCTGTTGGCATTGATTTCCATGCTGGTAAGTGAATGCCAGGCATGTGTTTGCCGTGTTGAATCTTTCAGCTGGGGTGGGTGGGTGAGAGAAGCTGCTTCGAGGGGAAAAACGGGAAGAAAAAGTAGCTTCTTCATGGGTGGATTCGGTTACCCTAACATTAGGCATTCCTCCCACTCTCTAGTCAGGATTATGTAGATTTGTCATCCTTTCTGGTGGGAGAAAGCCCCTCCCAGTTCCAGTTCTGCCTGATCCACAGCAACAGGGCTATTTCAGAGCTCCGGCTCTGTGTTTCAGATAGGGAGCAGTGGAAAGAAAATCTGTTTGAGAAGGATCGGAAGAACAAACGCCATTGTTTTGGAGTGAGTGGGGAATGGCCTCTCTGAGGACCCACTCACTGCATCCTCAGTCCTGCTCAGTTGCCTCCCCGTCCTCTTGTTTATTACAGTGTGTGGAGTTAAATGGACTGAAATGAGTATTGGGCATTATTCCTTATCCAAACAGGAAACAGCTTGGCAGACCACAGGCAGAAGAGTTTATGAATGTAGAGGGCTGAGTTTACGATACACTCGGTATTTCTGTGCTGGGGGGGAAGATCTCCTGCGGCAAATCTCACATGAAGGGGCCGGATCTGTGCCAAAGCCAGGGCTTGCCAGACTGCCCGAGCTGAATCCTATAAGAAACCTGTATCCGCCCCAATCCTGTAAGCGTCAGCCCAAAGCCAACACAGTCCTCAAATTACACAGATGTTGGCAGCCCTGTTTGAATCTGAGCCCTCTGTCTGCTGCCCATATTTTTCCTCCTTGGGGAGAAAAGTAGCTGGAACAAAGCCTTACTCACACAGCCAGCCCCCATTCCTCCATGCATACTCACAGGTTACCAGAGGGTGGGGGGCAATGCTCCCTCTAAGCTGTGGAGTCTTGTGAGCAAAAATTCTGCTTGGTGAGCTCCTGGCATTAAAGTTGTGAGCGAGCAGTTTGGTTACCGCATAAATTAGTTTGGTCTGGAGCCATCCTTCCTGAGCGAAGGCAAAAATGTGTGAGCCAGAGGCTAAAAAACTGTGAGCTAGCTCACACTACCTCAGCTTAGAGGGAACACTGGTGGGGGGGCTGTCTGTGTCTGCAGATCACACTGAGTTTTGGCTCTGTGAGTCTTATAGCTGTAGGACAAGGGAAAAATAAATGTGATTTCTGAATGTGGGGTCTGACATTTCCTCTGACATGTTTATATATTGACAGCTGTCACTGTGCCTTCAAAAGTTTAATTGTAATAGATCCAGATCTTGGTATATAACCCAGAATCTTTTGATTAGAGAAGCTTATAGTAGAATATATTTTATAATATATTCTATAAACTTTTGTATACAAAGTTATGTATATGTTAAGGAAAAGCATTATTAGAGGCCTCTGGGGATAGAATTAGGATGCAAAAATGGAATGTGTATTTAAGAAACGGCAAGGATGTCAAGAGCAAAGCTGAATGTGAATCACAACCCTTATCACCCAGCTCCCCAGAAACAAGGGAAAGAAGGACTGGCTTCACTAAGGTCAGAAAAGATCCCAGTGTTCCCTTATGTTTCCATTGCTCTGAAGAGCAGATAAGCAAATGCAATCACTGAAAATACATGACGGACCAATAGTAAGGTTTAAAGTCAAACGATGCTTGTATGATGTTAACTGCTTGGTACCAATTAGAGATACTTTAATGTGTAAACTATATGTGATGTCATTTGGGGTATAAAATCTTCTGCCCTTCCTGTTTCGGCAGAATACAGTTTTGGAATGGCCGAAGTGCTAAGGCATTCAGCCCTGTATTCCCTTAAACATATATTCATCTTAACTCGGTGGACTCCGACTGTGCGTTTCCAATTTGGCCACAGGAGCACACAGGCACAGCTTCGTGTATCATAGCCACAGCTGAAGTGTGCCCTAAATCCAGTTCCAGTACTGAAGGGTCGACACCGGAGAGTCTCGTTTTACATTGGAAAGTAGACCCTCCTGATCTGCCCACCTAGACTTAGGTAGATACTGTAAGCCACAGGAGCACACAGGCACAGCTTCGTGTATCATAGCCACAGCTGAAGTGTGCCCTAAATCCAGTTCCAGTACTGAAGGGTCGACACCGGAGAGTCTCGTTTTACATTGGAAAGTAGACCCTCCTGATCTGCCCACCTAGACTTAGGTAGATACTGTATTATGTTAGGATGGATCCCTACAGAAGAGATCGTTCCAGCATGATGGGACGTTCATTGGCACTGCAGTTGGTCAGATGTGTTATTTATTTATTTATGGCCCAGCAGTCTGGTTGGCCCAGGCTACCTCAATCTCATCAGATCTCAGAAGCTAAGCAGGGGCGG